CATGGGAGGGCTGGGGGAGCAGGCAGGATTTGGGGGGGCTGGGGAGTGGGGGAGTCAGGGGGCCTGGCACAGGTTCCCCCCTCTCCTCCAGCCTCTGCTCCCCTGCCCCTAGTATGTATCAGCTCAGAGTGGCTGTAGCTCCCTGCTGCAGCCACCAGGAACAGCCTGAATCATCATAGCTCTCTGAATCTTTGCCAAAGATTTGGAGAGCTTTGAATTGATTCGGACCTTTAAATAGGTCGCCGGATTCAATTCGGAGATTCAGCCACCGAATCAGGCTGAATCTCCTCCAAATCAAATCACCACCCAAAGCTTCGCATAGCGCTAGCAGATTGTCTCCCTAAAGGTCAGAACAACCCACAGTGCTCCCAGGCATCAGGAATCCAGAGAGGACGGAATTTGCTACTGCAGCCACCATCTCCAGTGCACAGTTATGGATATATAAGGGACCCAGTGGCTGAACAAGCCCCATGAGCTACAGAAGAGCCAGAGACTGGGCTTGATGAAGGGACTGCTGCACTACTAAGGGCGTACATCTGATCAGTGCACTGGGGCATTTCAGGCTGTTATGATAAGCAACCTCATTTCTTCCTGTGTTCCCTTCATGCTGGATCTTTCCTGACATTGCCAGTTGCCCTCCAGGGCCTGATGCAATCTGAATTGGGCCTGGCATCCCACTCCTTGCAAGCCTCCTGTTTTAGAGCCAGAGATTTAGCTAGTATCAATTTAAGTCAGTGCACTACTTTGCTGGATTGAAATCAGAGATTTACACCAGCACAGGGTCTCATGCCCTAAACCATACAAACAGTGAGCGTTACTAATCATGGAGATGATTTGTTTTGCCTATATGAAGTAGCTCCACAAAACACATGGTAGATGCAGGTAGGTTCATGTATATGTAGCTACAGATTTATTATATATACAATTACCATATATTATCCAATATATATTGCAAAATACTTACAAAGCGTGAAGAGTTGTCATTTCTCAAGGTTTTGGCATTGCCAAAGGCTTCCATAGCTGGATTAGCCTCAATGATTTGATCTTCAAGGGTTCCCTAGAAATACAACCAGAGGAAGTTTGTTGCTGCACATAGCAGGAAGGATCCATCCCTAATGCTGCAGATGGACAAGATGCAAGGCTGATTACCTGCTTACCTTCACCCTGTGCTGCTCTTATGAGATACTTGTAAGGTCATGTTACCCCGCAGCCTGGGACAGACTAGAGCCTGACTGCCTTCTTAGCGTGTCTTATTTGTACTTAATGTAGAGAACAATGAGAACTGAAGGCCATGAATTCTGTGGCATTCTCCACCCCTTACCCCTTATCTTTATGTGAAATTCCCTAGTCCTGTTAGCTAGAAAGGGAGCTACACAGTGGAAATGGATGACAGGAAGGGGAAATCTGCCACTGATATCCCTAAAGATTGCAATCTCTAGCAAGCTTTTAGTTACAGCCTTCCTCTCCCTCCAATACCTGAGTATTGGGAATCATGATACTAAAAGAACCTGGTTTTGCACCTGGTGAATGTAGCTTCAAAAAGACAATTGCAGTTGGTGGAAGAGGCACAGGAGGAGGGAGATAATTGTGATTTTTTTTCAATGGCACCTAGCAATCCCAGCTCTCCAAGCCAACAATAATGTACAGTAAACAAAGAAGAATTTCAGGCAAATTATTTGCTAATTAGAAAGTAGAATCAAAGTTTTAAATATATATCAATAACTTAACAGTGAAATAAGTCTTAATAGAATGCTCTACAAAAGAGGAAACTAGACTGTGGAACTTACAAACCTTAAAGGACAGGAAGTAGGGAAACACAAGTTATATCAAACAGCTGTGACTATACCCATGGATTCTGGCCTCCTTTTCATCCAAAATCCTGTCACAGTGACCCCAGCTTCTGCCTTTCATACACACTGCTGCATGGCTCCCATGCCCCCTGCTATTCTAGGCATAAAATTTGTATAATTTACTCACTATACTTAATAGACATGCCCAAGATTCAGCTTCTGATCCCTTCCTAATATTCTCCCTTCACACAACATGCTGGGCATTTTACAGCCACATTCACCACTTACTAGCCATGTCCCTGGGCTTGCAGGTACTCTGCATCTTATACCCCACTGAAATTATATGAGGGAGAGGAGCCTGGATGAGGCAGAGAAGAGGAGAAGCTGGTTTTCTCTCATGTTTGGGGTTGCTTGCACTTTTTCCCCAAATAGATTCATTCCGCCTTACTGACACCACTTCCAGAAGTACTTGAGGGAATCACAACCCTTTCATTGCATGGCTTTTTATCTAATGCCAGACTGTTTTACCACATAGCCCTGTGCTGTGGAGGGAGGATTGCCAAAGCACAGTATATTGGTTTAGTATGGAACTGAGTCTTTGGAGCAGTAACGGGATCCTGTACAAAGATGACACTTTGGATCCTTTATGTGACTTGCTGCAATTGTAAATTGATCTGTTTATTCAGCACCTCTACTGCCTCTCCAAACTCCATCCCCTACACTACATACAGAAACAATTACTTATCAGTACAATGGATTTACCAGTTCTAGGATCATCTCAGCTCCTATAACATCATTTTCTAGCTACAAACCATCTAGATATTTCACAAAAACAAAATTCGGTAGTGTGCAGAGGGATTTACCGCTAATTTTGGTCTCGCCAGTTTCATAATGAAGACATTACTGAATGTAATAGGGTTTTTCCTGACTTGCCTTGTCATAAGTGATATCAGAACCAAGCCAAACAACTCTCTAACATAGGTAGGAATTAAGGTGCTGCTTTAGAATTCGGTTCTCAGACTTGAGGACATGGACCCTGTTTCTTGTAAACTTACCCCAGTTCTAGTGGCAGGAGCTTGCTAGAGAAAGAAAAGACAACTGCCTTTAGAATTCAAGATAAGACAGGTCAGAATCACAAGAAAGCACCATCAGAAAAGCAGGGTGTTAAAATTTTGTTACTAGAAATGTCCAAAAGGTTGAAGGATTAAAATTTAAAAAATACAACAAAAAGATGTTAAAAAGATTAGGTCAAGAAAAAGAAGAAAAACACCAAAAAGCTAGAACAGTTAAATCCAAATCCAGAGAAGAGGAGAGGAAAACAATGCTGAAAACTTGCTTGGCTAATACCCAAAGCAACCAGTTTGCTTCTGTGAAGGAAAAGCAGGCTGGAGCTTCAAGCATCCACAAGAAATAAGGAACAGTAAGGGTAGTCAACACCAAAGAAATACAAGAAAGAATCAAAACAAGAGCAAGAAAAAAAAATGCAAGATGGAAAAGTATCAAAATTAACAAAAGAACAAAAAAAAGAAGAAAAAAGAAAAGCAGAAAGCAAGGCTTAAAAGAGGCAGGGATGGAAATGGCCATAAGGTCAGTTCCCTTTTCACTTCTGAAAAAGAAAATCTGTTGGAGTGAAGAGAAACAGGGCAGGCACCTCCAACTACCTCTGCACACCTGAGCCATTTGGTGCTGTCACTTAAAATTCCATTTCTCTATGAGCAGTTGTTTCAAACCTTGCTTGTTCAAAAGGCAAAGGAAAAGCAAAGTCCTGGCAGATCCTGATCCACGCATGCCTCCAAATCCCAAAAGGATAAAAGAAAAAATTAAAAGGAAAAAGAAAGAAAAAACAAAAGAAGAAAAAGGAAAAAAGAAACAGCAGAAGTTTCTGTCAAACAAGGGCCTTACTGTTTTCTTGCCCGGTGTGTCGCCCAAGGCTGCGACAATGGCAAAGTACTGAATGACCCTCTTGGTGTTTACAGTCTTACCAGCACCAGATTCTCCGCTTAGGGTAACAGAAATACACAGATCAAGAAAATGAGGCAGAAACAAGCAACACTTTACACAGAGACTTTACAAGGGAAAACAAGAGAATGGCCCAGATACCCGCTAGCAGTGTCACATAAGAGAAACAAAACTTCAGGGCACTGTCACAACCCTGGTCTCTGCTGATTTTATGGTGGACTGAACAGGAGTCAGTGGCTTTGTCTACAAAGGGGTTCCCAGCCAAGGCAACAGCACCATCAACAGCAACACAGGAAAGCAGAACTGCTGGAATTTGCAATGAAGTAACTTGATCTGATGTGTACCTGGACTCTGCCATTCTACATTAAGGGTTGTCACTGGGGCAGCTCCATTGGGGGCAGCTATCAAAGGGCTGGGATACCTGGGCAAACCCTCCATGCACACAAAGGCAATTGCTTCCTGGGGCCTGGTGCAGAAGGACTGACCATCCCTAGATCCAATGCAGACTGTTCCTGGCTTCTGTCGATTTTGTCATGAAGTACATGTCTGCGGGCCCAGAAGTTCTGAGGGTCACTGAGGAACCGTTCTCTTTCTGCACACTCTCAGACATTTTCACCTACTTGCATAGTGCATTGGAGTGGGGAGAGGGGCTTCTATCCAGAGTAAGCCCATTCCATTTAATACAGTGACTCAGGATTATGGGGCCCTAGAGGCCAGGTGAGTGCCAGGGGCTGAATTTCTGTAACACGTAGGCTATTCACACTGCCCTTTGCACAGTTCTCTGGCACTGGCTCTCTGGAAAATCCTGCAGTGATTTCATTCCTATAGTTAGCTGCTCTCCTATTGTAATCCCAGATCACAAAGAGCAGGGCTGTGGGGGACCAGAGAGGGAATGGAGCAACTACAGGACAAGAGCCAAGCATCTCTGTCTTAGCCCTTTCATTACCTAATTAGGCTATGGCTGAGGCTAAAAATGTCAGTGGCTCCTGGCAGCAGGGTATGGTCCTTCAGAGCACTTTATATAGCCCTTATCTATGTGTCACTTAAAATTAACCTGGCCTGCCTCCTCCCCAATCATGCACCTGATCTTGGCCTCCTGTCTCATCATCCACTCGCCTCAGCTTTTTGCCTTCCACATTGTCCCCCCCGGCCTTGTCCATATCCTTACATTTCCAGACTGAAACATTAAGGAACATGTGTGTGAGTCCCAGAGGACAATGCCTTTACTTTCCCAGCTGCAGCTTAGCCCCCAGCATCTATGCTGTGGAAATACTTTGCTTCCTGGTGGCAGGGTGGAGCCTACCAGTAAGACTGAACAAGAATTGGATGAGAAGTCTCTATCTGGGCAGCTTTTGGCAGCTACGATGGGTGCATGAAAGAGATGTATTCTGGGGTGCTAGCATGTGGTTGGATCTGAAAGGGACCTTATGAGGAGCTGGGTGGCTTTGACAGCTGGAAAGCACCCAATGCAATTTAGGACTTAAGGGATGAGGTGTCACTTTTTTGTGGGGGAGGATGGCTTGTCCCTGGATAAATCCTGGCCCCCCTTGGAGGCTGGAAGGAGATATGGGAGCATAAAGGGCTGTTAATAACCCTAATAATTACTTGTACAACTCATTTTGGTGGGGGGGAGGGACTGGGGAGGAGAATTGGGCCTCAGACATTTAAGCTAAAGACACTGGCAGTGAAGGCAGAGAAAGCAGCATGGATTACTTACGTGATGAGCATTGACTGGTTCTCACGATCTGGAAGAGATGGAGTAGATGTTAGACTGGAATGTGCTAGGATGGATGTAACAGGAAAGAGCCCTGAAAATTCCCCACAGCCTATCACACATACATGTTGAGGCATCTTCCCTTCATTCACAGAAATTCCCTGGCTGGACCCTGTGCATCTGGCTTAGTGCTGTGAAGTTTTCCCAATCAGAATGAACCCCAGTGTAGTTCCTGTGCTGCCAGACTGCATGTAGAAGCTGTGTGGGAGTGGCACCCATGTTGGGATAGATCCTATTGTCTTTACATTTCTAGGGGGTTCTTTTTTAATCTGATGAACCTGTGGCTCTTTCTTTAGATTGGGCACTGATGGCAAGAGCTCAGACCCAGTTTGGTGTGCTTCCTCCACAGACTGCCTAGAAAAACAAGCTAGTGCCACTGAAATCCTATTTGTCCTTTCCTGCTTAGGGTTTCAATCACATAGTTTACTGGTTACTTCCCCTATTAAAAGGCTGTTCTGCAGTGTCACTGGAAACCTGGTTCAAGACATAGCTGGGACGCAGCCAGACATCAGGATGAAGTAAAGTTATATATGGAGAGACAGTTTCTAAAGCCCACTCAGGCTGTGCTCATTCTGGATGAAATGTGCTTGGTAATTTTTATTATTTTTAATAAATGCATTTGTGTTGGTCCAACCCACTGTTATGGTTCAGTGATAAAATCCTTGTCTGCCACATGGGAGACCTGGTTCAATGACTGGATGCACACATAACTAGAGCATCAAGGCACCAACTGTTCAAACCCAGTTTGGCCTTTGGATGCTGTCTCAATGCTCTAAATGAGGGAAGCAAGGTCCGGGCAGCCTCCAATCCTCCATACTATTGCCTAGGCATATGCATCAAAGGTCTTGGTGCTGTGTCATACATACACCATGATCCAGAAAGATGGACAAGTTGCCTACCTAGTACTGGTCCAAAACCACAGGGTTCTGATCCAGATCCAGGTGGCTGCCTTTGTTTTGGGCTTGGGTTTGGTCTACCCCTGTATCTAGGGTTGCCAACCTTCCAAGATTGCCCCAGAGTCTCCAGGAATTAGACATAAATCTCCAGGAGACTGCTGAGAGTCACCCAGGAGATAAATGACAGGGCATTCATTAAATTAAATATTAAATGTTGAATCTGATTTATACAGCAATCCAGGTAAGGTTTTTGAAATGTAATGGTAATGTGCATTTGCCTTCCTTACGTAAAGTCTATGCACTGTAATTAATGTCATTACATCATGTGATGAAACCTCTTGGAACAGATTCAGAGTTGGCAACCCTACCCATATGTGTTGTTATGTCTTAGATTTTTCTTGTGAATGGATTTTAGTGTATCACCAGGTTTCCCTTCCTCACAGTGCAAAGATGGGCACCTATCTCAGTGGAGAGAAGGCAGGGATGTGAGGAAAGCAGACAAGACTTACTGCGCAACATGTCATTGTAGGCATTGTCCGCAATGGAGTAGATGTGGGGTGGGACCTCAGACCTCCGCTTTCCCTTGTAGACTGCTACCACAGGGGCAGTGTAGACTGGAAGCCACTTATATGGGTTTATAGTGACACAGAATAATCCTGAATAGGTCTGAGGACAGAAGGAAGGTGTGTGAATGAAAGAATAACACACCTGCCTCCATATAGAAGAAAGATTGTGCAAAGTCCCTGCATTTCACTCAGAAAGTGATCTTCATCAGCAAGCAGTGCTGAGCATGGGACACTTGCACACTAGAAACAAGGAGACCTGCCTACCCCAGGCTTCACTGGTGGTCTTTCAGATACCAGGGATGCAACTGGCCTTAATGGCATGAATGTACCTATGATACCAACCTGCTTATCTGGATGGTGACATTCTACTGCTATCCCCTGGGCAGCTGGTTTTCCATTCGCTAACCTCCCCTCTACCTGGATAGCTGACCTTAACAATAACAGCTCTTTTAAAATGCCTTTTTCAATTATGACGTCTCCCTGAGGCTGGTAGCCTTATTAGTGGTGTTCCAGGAGGTTGGCTTTAGGGTATCTAAAAGTCCTTTCAGCCTTTTTGAAAACATCCTGGCATTCTGTTTAGTTTTACAGACTCCGAGGTAAGTGGGTCTCTTTTCCTAGCATCTCAAGACTGGCCTCGAGTCCTATTTCTCTTGATCATGTTTTCCAAGTGAATCTAATCACTCCATGATAAATCTGCCACTTACAAAGTACAAATATCTGGGGGAATGTAACTCTCATGTTGTTGTAAGGAACAGGAACACTGTTCCTGTTGTTGTAAGGGACACTGAATGGAAAAAGTTCCTAAGCAATGGGTTTAGTGTTCTTGAAGCTTGCCCCTGCCTGGCATGGCTAGGTAGCTGGGATAATAAGGGCTGCCCATATTGACAAGAGAGATGTATTGTTTCAGAGTTTTTATATTTAAACCAGACTTTGGAACTCTTCACTGTGCTGGTACAAAGCTTATCCCTATCTCTGCCCCTGGGTAGGAAGCCAGGCTGACTCACATAGATCATCCAGTGGGAATAGCGGCGTTTTAAGTTGTATAGCACAGAGGCCTCATTTAGATGAGTCAGCATAGCCATGTCTTCTATCATATCAAACTTAGGAGGATTCATCTGCTGGATGTCATCCTCCTTGACAACACGAGTCTGGAGGGAGGAAACAAGGCAGAAGTGAGAGAGGTTCAAGAAGAGGCATTTCACATACACTGCGAAGTTGCTCATTCCTTCAAGCCTGGACCAGGTCTCTCAGTCATCATAAGCACTGCTATGGCATCTTGCTGCTCATTCCCATCTATCTTCTCTTAGCCCCTGTTCTTTTGCAAAAAGTACTTGATTCTAATCTCATTTGTGTCAAAATAATCCTGTTTATGGAAGCACTTTGATTTATTCCAGTGTAAATGGCAGCTGAATCATCTGGCCCAGTCTTAGCCAGATCTTTGCATTCTTGTGACTCTCAAATGGTCAATTCTCCTTTTTTACTCTAGCACAGTAGTCCCCACACTTCTGGACCAAAAGAACACTGTGAACATTCAAGATTTCTCACAACCCATGATGCGCACTGTCAAATTTTAAATTGAAAACATTATTACAGCACATGAGGTGCGGTGCAGTCTATGGATCATCTGTGGAGCACTGACCATCAGACCTTGGTTTCAGAACCACAGCCCATGAGGGAAATACTTCAGTGTCTAAGGGAGAGCATAGATTAAGCTGCAGTTCCCCAGGCCTCTCCTCAGCATTGGGTCTGTCAGTGGCAGAGCCTCTCTTTCCCACTTATCTTCTGCCTCCAGTCCTGTGTAATATTGCAGCACTGCTCAGGAAATTAATTCTGAAACTGTGGCTCCCTCTTTCTCCACACACGCTCCTTCTGGAAGAGGTGCAGCTCTCAGCTTAAATGCCATAAATGAACTGTTGTTGCTTTCAGCTCCCCTGAGCCTGCTGAGCCAGCATCACTCCAAGAAAGGGACCCAGGCAGTCATTCCTTCAGATCCAGCATCTGTTGGGTTGCTTGCTAAACCCTAATCTGTGCCATCTGTCAGGCCCATAGGAAGCTAATGTCATCACTGAGGCTAGAATTTTGTCTTTCTTGGGTGGAAAGATGGGCAACAAGGAAAGGGCCTGGCTTAGCCAGATACTGTTCAAATTCTCAGTCCAAATTGTATCCACTATCATTGTTCTTATGCTCTCCCCAACATGACACAGAAGCACTCAGAGCCCCTGGAGGTTTAGCTGTATTCTAGCATTTTGCAGAGATGCTTTTCAGATCAGGGCTCCCCACCAAGTACTCACAGATGCCATGACCCCCTCCCTCACTTAACTTGACATGGCCGTGAAAAGCCATAGCCATGTCTTTTCAACAGAGCAAATGTTGGGGAGAGCCATGAGATGCATCATGCACTGTTCCTGCTATGAAAGATCAATGGGTATTGGAGTGGAGGATGGAGGCTGGGTACTGAGTAAAGAGGATGACTGAAGCAATGATTAGGATGTTATACCCCCTTAGTATCCATCCCTTATCAGTCATTGCCAGCTCTTCAACCATGCCACTCTCCCAGACGAAAACCTGGGGTAGTGGGGTGCTCCCTGGGTTTGTGTAAGCTTCTTGGTTCCCCAGTATTCCAAATGAGTATGCCCAGGTTATTAATTTGCCTAGAAATCACAATTTACCACAGGCACATTGGTTAAGTAACAGAAACAGAAAAGGGCTTATTATAAATTGTGTAAAAAAAAAAAAAAGTGATCATATGCTTAGACAATAGAGTATGATAAAACACAACTGATAAAAACTTTACCCTGTGGTCCAACTACCACCCAAATTCCTGTGAAAATCCCTCAGAGTCAGCCTCTTCTCAGTCACACCTACCTCCCTCCATGAGGGACCACATTCCTTCTCCCATCCCATAAAGCTCCTTATCAATGGCTCCCCCAAAGGCCACTCCCTCCAAAACTTTCCACACCTTCAGGGAGCCAGAGACTCTTCTAAGAGTGTTTATGCCTGTGGATCCATAAGAAGTGGTTCTAACTGTTCCCATCCCAGGTGGAAGCCCCACTTCCTTTGATGTCCCCATTCTGCCAGACCTTCTTACAGTTGTCAGACACAACAGCCCAGCGAGAAGCATCTAGACAGATCCCACCACCTCCTAACAAACTCTCCCACCTTCACCTCCACAGTGATAGGGACTCATCTTGCTTTTCTAGGAAGGTTTAGCCATGGTATCAGCTCACAATAGGGAAGAGCAGTGCATTGCTTCTGGACACAGTCTGGCAGCTCTACCAGACTTTTCCCATCAGTGGTGACAATTGTTCTGAAGCTCTTGGTGCTGTGAGTGTTCCTGCTATTATTTGCCTTACTCTTTTATTTAGGTGATATGGTTGTAGGCCTATTCTGATATACATAGCTTAAAATAATATAGAATCATAGAAAATTAGGGTCAGAAGGGACTCCAAGAGATCATCTAACCCGACCTCCAATTGAACAACCTAATATGGTACAACCTTTTAATCACGGAGGTTTATAGTTATTTAGACAGACAGCTGAAGTGTATAGTCCATCACTTGTAACTGGATGTATTTAATCCTCTTGGTCCAAGCACTGGAAAACTCTCACATTACACATCTGTGCCTGACTGCAAGAGGCTGAATTCAGCAAATGCCCCTGTTAATAAGAGTTGAGGCAAAGCTTTTAGAGAGATTTTTATTAGCTAATAGTAAGTGTACCAGGGAGATCTGTTTTTGTCTAAACTGAGGCACTTGGAATCAGAGCATAGATATGATTTAGACAAACCTGTTTGGGGAAACCTTTACTGAAAGAATTTAGCTGACATAACCAAAATATGTGACACAATCAAATCAACTTTGACCAATTCTATTTAGAAAAAAAATTAAAATGTGTAAAAAAAAAAGTCCTACGGTTCCACATTGGTATTTTCAGAACACCAAGCATCAGTGTTTTTGTTTCAAAATGTAGTTTATTTTACATAAAAATTCCAGGAATTAAAATGAAATTTCCATAATTCTTGAAAGAAAACATTTTGTTGGAATTGGAATTTTGTTTTGTGGGGGAAAAATGTGGCTTTTTGTCCTAGTTCTGTAGGAACTATTTTCAAATACTTCAAGTTACTGCTTGGTGCAGTGATCATCGCAGTAAAAATGCAAGTAAAGAAATCCTCTGGTATCTTATATAACTGGTGTCATGGAGTAGAATCCAGCTTATACATTATTATTTTTACTGCATATTATTTTGACAATGTAAATTCATAGAAGCAGATTCTGACCCCTGGCACCATTCAGTTGGGAGTAACTTCACTTATGTCCATAAATCTCATGTGAGAGCAACCCTATACTGGTGTAACACCACTGATTTCCCATTGACATTGGGGTAAATGAGATGAGGCCTGGTGGACTGATAGGGGTGCAACAAAGTTCAGAACTAGGCTTTGTATGTATAACAATTGCTTTATAGGAAAAGAACAGATCTAGGAAAAGAATAGATCTTTAATCATATGTACCAAATCCAATCTACCAAAACAGTAGCTTGAAGATACTATGGCAGTGACTGGTATAGCAATACCTATACATAAAATAGGAAAAATGCTCTTCTCTGCTATGCTGATAGAGCTTCAGAATAGGCAAAGTAAAATTTGGGCCCTTATCTCCGGCTGCAAATGATTTTCTCTTGCAAGATTTGTTGAATAATTCAGTTTTATGTAGCAACAGGCTGTTTTCAAAAAATGACTAGTCTTCTCCTGTTGACTATTGTTACAGCTGTTAGGATACCAGCTGATGTCTTGGCTCAGGGAAGATCTACTCTCATTCTTGCAATCTGTCTTTTATGGTGGATTTTTTTAAATGCAGCATTTGATGGCAGTATATTGAAACACTGGCATGTTTGGAAAGTATTTGTCCTTTGTCATATAATACACTTCTGTGTAACAAAAGGCATGTTCAGTACTAAGCTGAAGGGTTGAATGTTGATCATTTGAATGGTGTGAATTAGAACTTGTCTAGTTTCAGATACAGTCTGTTCAAACATGCATCCCCTCACACATACATTCCTTTCCTTTCCTTTTTCCCCCCATTCCTCCAGCCATCCACTTGAAAAATTAAAACTGCTTTGCTTACTTGCTTATCTTTGGTTTCCACGGTGACTTTGCCACCAGAGGATTCTCTGATTTCAATTTCAAGGTAGGCTTCCTTCTCATCTGGGATCCACGCTCGCTTCTTTCCTTAAGGTTGGAAAGGAAAGGAAAGGAAGAATGAAACTAATGAAATCATCTGCAATTATCAATAGCTTTCAGAAAGCAAGAACACAGTCTGGTAATTTTGAGGGACAACTCTGTTTTCCTTCCTGTGCTTTTTATAATTTCATTTGAGACTTCCTAGTCTTTTTCATTCCTGATCTGCTTAATTTGTCCTGATTATTTTTAATATTAATTTAAGTCAGCTCTTTGACATATATGCATGCTTCTGGAAAAGTGCGACTTACAGAAAGCACAATTCTTGTTCTTTGCATTTCCCTCCCTTAGTCCTATAGTATCTATAGAAGAACCAAGTAGACAAAAACAGGCTTATGCCTAGATACTTTAGCTCTCTGAAACTGGTAATAGAATATCTGGCTCCAGTATGATAAGAGGATAACAAGAAAGTCTCTACAGTGATTTCTGTCCATCTACAAAGTGAAATGGACTATAGAAAGTTTCACTTAGCCAGTATTGCCCATAGAGACCCTTTATTGTTGCAGTGTCACTCAGGCCTTCTGCATACCATCTGTGTGCTGATGAGCAGCCACATCACAAACCAAAGAAAGCACCAAAAGCAGCTGTTGTCTCTCCCTAGTGCTGAGTTCTTCTGGTCCTCTAACTTCTTACAAGTGAGCAGAAGAACAGAGTTGCAGGTACAGTGATTCTCCTTTTCCTGTTATCATGGGGAAAATGGAGACCAAATGATGCTATAAAACCCTATGAGGAAAGGGAAGGAAGATGGGAACACTTTACAAAGGAAGACCTGGCTGTGAGCTGCCTCATTACCAGCTTTTGTCATGCTCCAAACTGGTTCTTATCTTACCATCAAACGGGATGGTTTGAAGCTTCAATTGCTCTGTGTAGCTTTTTCGGAGGTATTCAGCAGCCTCCCCAAACTCGGTCATATCTAACATAGACATCTTGCCTGGTGGAAAGAAGAAAGTTTGGCAGCAGCAAAAAGAGGAGAAACCAAAGCCTCCAGAGCACTGAAACAGAGGGAAACAGAAACAAGGGATCAATTCAGAGAGAAAATACCTGCTTCCTCCCTGCCTAGAGATGAGACAGTTTTCAACATGCCATTAACTTAAGAGGCTATAAGTAAATATATTGACAATGAAATACAAATTCAGGTTTTCTAGTGTAATTACTAGCTGCAATGCATATCTTGACTGTATTGAGATTTAAAGTGGAATGTAGTCCTGATGCTATTGATGTCTGTCCTTTGCACATTTATATTTTCTTTCACCAGCAAAAGAGTCCACAGTAAACCCCATTTTAACAATAAATGCTGCTAAAACAGTTCCTAGTTCTTAGCGCTGTCAACATATATGTCACTTTTGCAAACCCAGTGAGAAGATAAGATTCTCCTGCTCCAGAGTTAGCACTGGAAAACAGTCACAATAAGAGCTGAAGTGTAAACCCACAAAAAATCACTGGTGTCTTCTCGGTGGGTGCTGCAATGGCTGTTCGGACAAGTGATATTATTATGATATTACTTCATTTTGTCTATACAAAACAATATCATGCAACTGAACAGCATCTAATGCTTCAACAAGTGCTACTAGTTAGTAACTTTGCAGATTGTACAGATTTTATTAAATATGCGGTTTTTCTGTCCATTTCTACATCTCAGTCATGCTGGCCAGAATCACCCTCCCCTGCACCACATTAGAGTTAGTATGTCAGCCCCTTTCCTTAGGTAACTTGTACTTTGCTGGCAGTGAAATGGGTTAGTAATCTGGAACAGGCATGCACACAGCAGACATGCTCTTTATTACCAACCTTGGTTTTAGGACTGAGTGGCTGTGTGTGTGCAGTGAAGCCCCTTTTTATTGTGTCTGTCAAGGTCAGAGTGGGAAGAGATATGTCAGAAATTCCCATGTGTCATGTCTACACAGCTCCATTGGTGCTGCTGCCCTATTGCCCAGTGAGACACAAAAGGCAAACTTCGCTTTTATCTCTCTGCAAATGCAGGCTGGTTATTTTTATTCTTGTATTGTCAGGCAAGTACAAAGGCAGTGAGAGAAGATCCAGTTTGGGAAGCAGCACGGCTCTCAGAGTCAGCGTGTGCCTTCCCCATCTGGAGGGGAGCAGTGGCAAGCAGAGATATAAGAGCTACTCTGATTCTTGCCCTTTGTTTGAATCTTCTGCTTTTCTGCAACCCTCTGTGTCTGTTACTCACAGCCAAATTGCTGCCCAGAGGAGACAAATGCTGCCACACTGCTGTCAAAGCCATGCTCATCTTGAGCATCTTCCTTAGCTTTTGCTCTGTCTTTCCTATTGAGCCAAACTCCCACTGATTTCATCTTGGCTCCTTCCCCGCAGGTTGCAGTTAGGGAGGGTGACATCAAATGCTACAAACACTAGAATCTGTTTTTCTTATTACAGTTGAAGCAAACTGCAAAAATTATTTTGAAAAAGGACCCAATTCTCCCTTGACCCCCATCCTGACTGATACTTACACCGTCATGGCTGTGAAACTAGGGACCTGGAACTGGCTCAGGAGATAGGGGCCAGCTGTGGAATTCAGGTGTGTGTCTATTTAGCCTTCCCCTAAATTCAGTGAGGTCAGTGAATCATGGCCTGAGGGGTATGAATGATAAAACAGCAGCAAGCCACTTTATTTAGGCAACACCAACATGGAACATTTCAGCCATGGAAGCAGCATACACAAAAAAAGTTTTCAAAGAAAATGCCAGAGATAGGTCTGGACCTTTTCTCAAGACTTGGACTTCCCTGAGCTGTGGTGTCTTGGGATCCAGAATCCAGGCCTGATTCCCATGTGGTATGAGGCCCTGTGATTCAGTAGTCCAGGTCTAACCTCCCCTGACATATGGGCCACCTGGGCTGATTTGAATTTCTGATACTTGGAATAGAAAATGAGACATTTGCACTCCATGCTGTGACAGTTTGGAAGCTTGGGAGACTCACTGTCACTTATAGGACTTATAGTTGTGTGGTGGTGCTAACAGCTGGGACAATATTTATCATTTAAAGCCTATTTTTTTATTACCTTTGCTTTGGTTGTTTACTGAACAGTAGAAGCAGAAGTTTTCCAAGTCATATGTGTCTGGGTGGATGAGAAGGCCAGTGATAACTGCTATTGGCAGGACATAGGCCTCCCCTTGCTTACGTTAGAAGCAATTCCACTGGGGTTACACCAGGGTTCCTACGGTAGCAGTGCTGGTGTTCCTACGGTAGCAGTGCTATTTTAGCATTAGTTAATTAAGCCTGACAACCCCAAGTGAGTTAAACAGCATTATCATCTTCATTTGACTGATGGGGAAATTGAATCCCAAGGAGGCTAGGAGCCATTATACAAAGGGATATAGGTTGTTCTAACACAGAGTGTCACGATGCATAACTCTTGGATCCTGGCTTGGAGAGAGAGGCATTCACCCTGGGATCCAAAACAGCCAGATGGCTGAGTGAGAAGCCAGGTAATGCCAGAACACCAAGTGGAGAGCTGTAGCATGAACTGAACTAATGTAGCTGATGTTAACATAGAGTGTAATAATAGTAAAATATAACCATGTTAGTCTTGTCCTGTAAGCAACTTGAAAACTCCATTTTGTATCCTTCTGCTTGACATAAGTGAATGAACTCTGCATAAACTTTATGTATGAGTGTGTGTAAAAGGGTGAATGGTGAGAGAATGGCATAGAGGTGGGAGAAGAGTTAACTGTTTATGTAAGCAACAAGGTGCCAAATGTAAGTTACCAGTCAGTAAACCAATTAATGAATGTCTGAAGAGTCCCTTTTAAGCCTAGGGCACAAAGAAGATAAGGAGGAGAAGAAATGCACCCATCCTGACAGATGGGTAGCAAGAACACTCCAAGGCTAAGATAAGCTGAAGACAAA